TTATTATTATTATTATTATTATTATTATTATTATTATTATTATTATTATTATTATTTTGCCACTCTGTCATGTCTAGTTTTGTAATCTGAACAATCTTCGGACATTCACTGATGAGGTGTGACAAAGTTTAATGAGTTTGGAGTGCTTGTTTTGTGCATCTATTGTTGTTGTTGTTGTTGTTGTTGTTTACATTGCACTTTGCACCAGAATGAATTCCAGTAAAATCAATAATATATAAACATGGAATACAATATTTAACAACAACCTTAATATTGTGTGCGTGTGTGTCTGTCTATATGATCCTGAAAGAGCTGTAACCAGCCGTTTTGGTATCCAGGGCAAGTGAAAATGGAGGAAGAGAACATGATGTCTCCATAAAAGCAAGAGATTTTATGCCTTCCAACAAAAGGGCCGTGAATAGAGCAGGAGGGGCTGGTCATCCATTTCCCTAGCCCTCAGCAATGAAATATCCCTCTAGATCTGGGTGACCTCCCTTCGTCAAGGCTACAGAGATTCCACCCTATTTAAGGTCCTGGGATCGTCCGTATACAAAGCAGCTTCTCCATTCCCTCAATCTGTGCGCTGAATCCCACTTATTTCCTCCCACAGTTCCAAGTCCACGAGAAAACCTACTTTAAGAACATCCTCAACAGCATCAAATTCAGCATTAAGCTGTCAGTCAACAAGATCCGGCAGGAGGTGGACAGATCGGCGTAGGTATTTTGCAAGAATACCCATCTAGTCATTCCTGAGTTGGGGGTCCGGCGGTCTGTTTCCTCCAGAGCCTTCACCTCCAGATATCATGCAGGGAATAGATTAGAGACATTGCTTCTGAATTCCAGGTATCAGGATAGGGGGTTTTTGGGGGGGGCGTGTGTGCGTTGGAACTGCAACTCCCATTTTCCAGGGGCGATGCAGTCTAAAAAAATTGCTAGCTTTCTCCTGCTGTGTCAAATTTTCCAGAAGCTGTCACAAGGTTTGGTTCCACCTGCTTCCATCTGCTTATTCAGCTAGGGTTTGGCAGCCTCTAGTGGCTGGCAAGAACTCAACACACAGGACATGTGAAGCCATTATTATCTATTTTGGGGAGGAAGAAGAAAAGAAAAAAAAAACAGGTCTCCTTTTTTAACCAGGCAGAGTTCTTCATGAGACCCAGAAGCTCTGAGCCAGGCCAAAATCCAGTGGCTGTGAATCCATTCAGGATCAGTGGCTGGAAACACCAAGTTGTTCTGAGAACAATGGAAGTGACAGACCGGTTGACACAGGAACAGGAAATAAGCTTTCGTGTGGTCCGAAGCCTCCAAAGAACTGGGGCCACTCTCTTGTACAATACCTGCGATGGTCACCCATTCAGCATCTTCTTCCGTTCCTCACCAAACAGCCACAGCATTAACAGCCCTGCGGCTGGCCCTTTTGCTGATGCAACTCCATGGGAGTTGATGGGATGATCCAGTGCATTCCTGAATATTCGCCTGTGCCGAATATTAAAGACCTCCACAGCCTGGGGCACTTTTTATCCTGACTCTTGATGGTGGGATGAGTGGTCTTTATTTGCACTTGGTGGGAACTTCCACTGATCGAAGTGTGTTGTCTCATTTCAGGTGGCTGCTGCCTCCTCAGGCACTCAACGCTTACTACCTTCCCAACAAGAACCAAATGGGTATGACTATGAACCAATGCAATCTCATCTACCTCTCGGAGGGGCAGGATCCTAACAAAAAAGGGAACTATAGCACCATGGTGGCGCTCAAGGCCTTTCTAAACTATGACTTTGACATGGCCATTGCTGTAAGCTTGTGGTACCTTTCAGACGATCGATCATCAGGCACATAGTCCTTCCCACTGGAGCCCAGCCTGGCCCCATCTTTGCTGTCCTTCTGCAAGCAGGCAAAGACTTTTCTCTTCAGGCAGGCTTTTCCGTTAATGACTGGCGGCCTGATTAGGATTTTTAAATCTTCAGGCAGGCTTTTCCGTTAATGACTGGTGGCCTGAGTAGGAGTGTTCTGCTCTGTTGTTTTAATGTGTTTTTATATATGATCTTAGCTAGCATTTTAAAACAATAATTGTTTAATTCTTTTATCATATTTTCTATATTTACATTTCTTAGCTTTCAAATACAGTGGTGCCTCGCATTACGACGTTAATTCGTTCCAGAGAAATCGCTGTAGAACGAAAACGTCGTAATGCGCAAAGAAAAAACACATTGAAACGCATCAAAACCCATTTAATGCGTTCCAAAGGTCTGTAAACTCACTGTCCAGTGAAGATCCTCCATAGGGTAGCCCTTTTTTCTGCCTGTGCAGCAAGGAATCTGTCCCAGAAAACAACGGGGGGCCATTTTGTTTACCCGGTGGCCATTATGAAACCGCCGATCAGCTGTTGGAAAATCGTTGTTTTGCAAAGAATCAGTTCCCGAAGCAAGGAACCGATCATCGCAAAGCGAAACTCCCCCATAGGAAACATCGTTTTGCGATCGCAAAAGTGATTGCAAAAAGTTCATCTTAATGCGTTTTTTTCGTTAAACGGGGCAATCATAAAGTGAGGCACCACTGTACTTTTTTAAAATGATGTAAGCCACCTTGGGTCCTTTCAAGGAGAAAGGTGGGATAAAAATATTTTAAGTAAATGAATAATTGTGGGCTTTCAGATATCCTTGGCCAAGGATGAAGATCCGTATGGAGACCGTTGGCCTTTATCTCCCACCCAGAAGCGTGTCATTGAGCACCAGGCCTGAGTAGTGCACGAAATTTACCCCCAAATAGGCTATGAATTTCTCTTTAACCCGGCAAATAGTCTTAGTTGCGGCTCAACACGTTGTTGAAGGAAAATCTAGGGATATTTAGGAATAACAAGATGATACAAAGTCATCTGGCCAAGGTGTGTCCATTCTGTAGCAAGAAACAAAAGCTTGCCTTCCTAGGTTAATTTGGCAAGATGCTAGTGATCAGCGTACAGCCATGAAATGTGCTTCCCACCACTCATTTGTCACAGGCATACTTTAACTGGTTTTTAAAGAATATTAATTTTTAAAAAAGTAATGTGGAATAGCTGTCAGAAAAATACAGAATGTATACTCTGGACACAGAAAATTCTTCTTAGATCTTCTTTGGGTTGGTTGGTTGGTTGGTTGGTTGGTTGGTTGGTTGGTTGGTTGGTTGGTTGGTTGGTTGGTTGGTTGGTTGGTTGGTTGGTTGGTTGGTTGGTTGGTTGCAAATATTTATACAACACCTTTCTCCTCAGGGATCCAAGGCGACTTAAAAGAATCAAAATTAAAAACCAAATAATAAATTACAATATTAAAAAGCAGTAAGTGAATATCAGATTAAAACTCATAACAAGGATATTAAAAATACAAATAAGACACAGAACAAAATGCTCCCTTTAAAAAAAAATCCCCTTGGTCAACCAGGCATTTAAAGGAAGACCTGCCTGAAGAGAAAGGTCTTTGCCTGCTTGTGGAAGGACAGCAACGATGAGGCCAGGCTGGCCTCCAGTGGGAGGGAGTTCCACAGTCTGGGAGCAGCCACCGAGAAGGCCCTTCTCCCGTGTGTCCACGAAATGCTCCTGTGAAGGTGGTGGGACTAAAAGAAAGGCCTCTCCTGATGATCTTGACACCCGAGTAGGCTCATAAAGAGAGTCTTCTAGAACAAAGAAGCTCCCTTCACCTTTTGAAAATGTACTGTAGAATCCTAGGATTGCAGAGCCAGGAGGGATCCCAAAGGCCATCTAGTCGAACCCCATGCCAAAGCAGGAAAGTTGCAGCTAGACCATCTTAACAGGAGGCCACCCAACTTCTTGAGAACTTCCAAGGAAGGGAAAGTCCACCCTTTCCCAAGACAATCTATTCCACTGTTCTCATGTGTTCTACTCACTCTTTTTTCTTCCCCCTTTGAAGCTGGAGAATGGAATCAAGGCTCTCAAACAGTAGCTCTGGTGTGGAATCCTTAATGTTGTGCCATGCGCCAAAATACATGAACTGATGTTTATCGTTTTTTTTAAAAGCCAGCACCCCAGCACTTCAGCTTTGCAGCATTGCTTGTGTGTGATCTGAGCCTCCGGCAAACGTTTCTTTTCTGCTCTAACCCATGTTTCATCTCCCCACAGTGTTCCCAGCTGGGATCCTTCAACCCACTCTGTATGACCCAGAATTCCCACAGTAAGTGGCAGCTTTTGACGCGTGGCTTCTATCATGGAGAGCCGGAGGGCAATAGGGCAAGGAGTGACTGGTCAAGGTGGATATTTTTTTCCAGCCTCACTGTCCAGGCAGTTGGACCCTCTGGGAGTTGGACTATGAAAAACCTCCCTGCTCTATGTGAGGGACTGCCCTGCTCAATTCCAGTTTTAAAATAGACTCATAAGAAAGGAGACCCTGTGATGGGACCTGCCATTGGTTACCATGTGAACAGCAGACGAATCGGGTGCACAGATCATGAGTTCAGTGTTCACTGATATAATTTGTGTAGCACTGGAAACGATTGTCTTCATTTGATCTGCGTCTCTCCTCTCTCTCTTTTTCTTGGTGATATATACATGCCATCACCAATGGCAACCCACAATGTTCGTCTCCCACTTCCAGGTCCCTGAACTATGGTGGAATTGGCACGATCATTGGCCATGAGCTGACCCATGGTTACGATGACTGGGGTAAGGTCCACCTCCTCCTTTCTTCTCTCCAACCAACCTATAGCTCCGGACCTTTATAATCCCTCCGGCTGGCCAACCGGAGCAGCTTTGCATTCAATAGCATAGAATGGTGTGGTTTGGGTCAAGCAGCAGAACCTCCTAAGCGCGCCCCCCTGGGATGACGTGGCTGGGGATACAAAGAAGGAACCAAAGATTTGAAGAAAGGTGGGTTGTTTTTTTTTTGAAAGAAAGAAAGGGAAAATGTGTATGCCAATTCCTAGAACATCCTAGCCAGCTTGGCTACTGGTTTTCAGCTTCTGTGTAACTGACTACCGCTTGCAGATTGTGGTCTTTCTAACTGGAATGTAGGGTCCAGCCCTGTCAGTAGCTCCTGTAAAGTTCAGCTTCAAACCTGGAGTGGCTCTATGGCCTCTTCCACAAAATCAAAGTCCTCCGCCTTCACGCGCCAGCTTCTCATCCCGTCCGCTTGCTTTGCAGGAGGCCAGTACGACCAGCACGGCAACCTGATGCACTGGTGGACGGACGCCTCCTACAGCAAGTTCCTCAAGAAAGCCGAGTGTATTGTCAACCTCTACGACAACTTCACGGTCTACAACCAAAGGGTGAGCAAGGAGGTGCAATACCCTCTTTAGTACCAAGGGTGGGGGTGGTGCTCCCCAACGGGTGGTTTGCAAATCTGGGAACCTTCCCGAAATTTTCCCATTTCTTTCTTTTTTCTCCCAGTTTTTGATCCTCTGAAAATGGGAGTGTAAAATTTGAATTTGCATTTGGATTGGGGCATATCACATCACCGCTGTGTCTTTCAAGAACTTTGTTGCACACTGAAGTTTGTGGAACAAATTCATTTCAGACACACCCTCCGGAAAAGGGTTCACCCTTGTTGGCTTCTGCTGTCAAACTGTGCTCTGATAACTTGACAGAACACAGTTTAGCTATCGTAGCCCTGGTAAGAGTTCAGAAGAGCGATGTCCAGGGATGTTGGCTGGTCTTCCTGACCAATTCCAAGTCCGGGTCTTTGGGCCCAAGTCTTGTTGTTGCTTGCCTGCTTCCTCGGGCTTGGGAGTTAAGGTAAAGGTAAAGGTAAAGGTTCCCCTTGACAATTTTTTGTCCAGTCGTGTTCGACTCTAGGGGGCGGTGCTCATCCCCGTTTCCAAGCCATAGAGCCAGCGTTTGTCCGAAGACAATCTTCCGTGGTCACATGGCCAGTGCGACTTAGACACGGAACGCTGTTACCTTCCCACCGAGGTGGTCCCTATTGATCTACTTGCATTTGCATGCTTTCGAACCGCTAGGTTGGCGGGAGCTGGGACAAGCGACAGGTGCTCACTCCGTTGCGTGGATTCGATCTTACGACTCCATGGTCTTCTGACCCTGCAGCACAGGCTTCTGTGGTTTAGCCCACAGCGCCACCACGTCCCTCATAGGACTCAAGACTTGAACCCAAAGACTGGCCCCCCACCAGGGCCACACACCCTGCTGCCACTCTCCATCCGATAAGCCTCCCTGTCTGCTCCGGATGCCCCCTTGGTGGTGTACCCATCCACTATCACCGCTGTGCCCCATCTCGCCACCCCCAAGTCTCAAGTCAAATCCAAGTCATTGAAAAAAAACAACACCCAACTCTGAGTCAAGTTACCGGTGGGACTTGAGTCAGACTCAACAGCGAGTTACGTGACTCATGTCCCTGAAGATGCCTTTGGACTCCAACTCCCAGAATTCCCTAGTTAGCAAGGCCCAATGGCCATCTTTGCTGAAGGATCCCTGTTGGCTCAAGGACCTTGTCCATATTTAGGGTAATATTTCCTGTATGCCAACATGAATTTGACCCAACTCCGGGAGGCAGTGGAAGACAGGAGGGCCTGGCGTGCTCTGATCCATGGGGTCACGAAGAGCCGGGCACAACTAAACGACTAAACAACAAAATTTCTTGTACTGTATATGCGCTCTTAGTCCAAATTGCTGGCGCTCTTGTCATGAGGCCCCATGGGTCTTTTTCTGCTGGAGTTCTGGAGTCTTTAACAACGTGATGAAATTGTTGCCAACTCTTTTTGTCCTCCTTGTCAACCACAACAATGATGTTATTGAGATTAAAAAGTAGATTTGAAGACAAGTTTAAAATGTTGGGTATGATCGCGGGGGTTGGAGATAGACTGCATTTTGGACCGCTTGCAGTGTGTGGCCCCAGTGTGATCTGTTTCCCAGGAGTCACACAATATACGGGAAAATGTGCTCAAGGCAACCTCATCCCTCACCCATTTTTCGCCACCCATACCTTTTCCCGCTATCTGGTCCTTGTCGTAGAATTTAGAATCAAGCTCGATAGGCTGAATTAAAAAATGGGATGGAAAATCTTGAGCGTGGATGCAAAAGACATAGCGGGATAAATTTTAATAGTCTAGCCTAAGCTTCTTTAACTGTGCACACCGAGCCGTATCTGCTCAGAAGTGGAAAAACACCCAAGTCATTTTACAAAGGACTTACAACCAAAATAATCTGAATGCTATCAATTAATGCATATTTTGGGGAGGGGACTTTACAGTGGTTTCTTATTCTTTTCTTTTTAAAACGATGACAGTGGTTTATCTTTCTTTAATCCTGACATAATAATAATTTCAATTTTATTTTAGAAATGAAGCATTAAGTGTTGGGCCAAAGAGAGAGTTGGTTGCTTTGATTGTCTTTAAAACACATAGCTTTTGTTTGAAGATTAACTGTTCAAATGGTAAATGTAGGGAGGAAAATATGAAAAGAGCCTAGAAATGAAAAAGAACCAACCTCGTGTTCTGTAGTTCTGTATTCTAAGAACCAGAACAAAAGGCGAATGGAAGAAGGAAGGACAGAGATTACAGGCTGGAAGGGTGGAAAGTTTTGGAAGCTGTTGAAAAAAGTTCTGGGGGAAAAGTTGTGGATGTCACGAGGTAGTGAGTTTTAGGGAAAGGAACACCAGGCGAGGAGAAGACAGGTGGGAGGATGAAAAAGCTAAGCAAAGAGGAAAGTACTGAGAGAATGAAGTCCTAGAATCATAGAATAATGAAGTGGGAAGGGGCCTATAAGGCCATCAAGTCCAACCTCCTGCTCCAGGCAGGAATACTGTCAAAGGATATCTGCCAGTGATGATCTAAGTTTCTCTTCGAATGCCTCTAGTGTTGGAGCACTCACCAACTCCCGAGGTAACTGGTTCCACTGTCACACTGCTCCTTATGTTAAAGAATCTGGCTTCTTGTAACATGAGCCCATTGTTGTATGTCCTACACTCTGGAATAATTCATTCATTCATTCATTCATTCATTCATTCATTCATTCATTCATTCATTCATTCATTCATTCATTCATTCATTCTGCACCATCTAGTGGCTTTGGCACTACCCTGGACTGTTTCCAACAAAGAACAGCCAAATCCCACTGAAACAAAAAATGTAAAATAAAGAAGTATAATGTAAAAGGGCAACGTACCTAAAAATCAAGACGGCGACAAGACAAGATAAAAGTTACAGAATATAATCATCAACAGTTATGAGGGGAGAAATAAAATAATATGTTTTTATGTGCTTGCTTCCTATTAGGAGGGAAAGGGTCTAGCATGCAGCTGCAGGTAGAACATTTGATAGAGAGGTGGCTACCACAGAGAATATATAATATGAATATATGCAACAAAAAGCATTATTTAGCTCTAAGCATAGTGAGGCACTCGTAAAATCAATACATAATGCTGTCACCCATTTTTCAGCTGGGTTGCATTTAACTATTTGTATTAAAGCATTATTTAGCTCTAAGCATAGTGAGACACGTAAAATCAATACATAATACTGTCACCCATTTTTCAGCCGGGTTGCATTTAGCTATTTGTATTCTACATTTTCTTTACCTAATTCACCAAGAAGAAGCAGCTATACCCCACCCGCCTCTACACAATGTTGTTCCCTTAGACAGGCTTTTGTTTATATTACCTGCCTGATAGCACCCCTGACTACCGATAAGCAAAAGTAAAAAAGAATACAGTACATGGGTCATCAAGTTACTTGTAAGCAAAATAAAATGTATTTACACTAATTACCTATCAAATGTCAGTGTTTAATGTTTCCACATCTCTTGTGGATTGGAAAGCAAAACAAAATAGAAGGTTGCTAGAAAATGTTTTCTTTCAATGATCTTGCTTTTGCCAATTGTAGTAAACAATGGTTTCATGTTCAAAGGTACTATAATTTAATGGCAGTTTTTAGGGCATTTTCTATACTCCTACTTGTTCTAACACTTCTAAGCAGATAAAATATCAAAACCTGACAGCTTGGCAGTTAGTCGTAGACTTTCTGGCTTCCCTTGGGGTGGCCGTCCATAGCATCAACGCCTGGAAGGGGTACTAAGGAGGAGCTATAGGGCAAAAAAATTTTTTAGAAAAATAAAAGCAGTGGCTTAAAATAGATCCAACAAGGAAACAGAAGCCAGTGAAGGAACGCTAGCAAAAAAACAGAAGCAGAAATCCCGTGGGTGACGCCTGGCACCTTTTAGGAAGCCAGCACCCACTGCCAGAACCACAGAAGCTGCTAGAGACACTCAGACATATTACCTGCATAGAATTAATGGGGAAACAGGGAATATCCACCAGTGGCCTTCATGGCTTTGGGATGAATAAACTATCCCAACTTTCAGAAACCAGATGATCGGAAACAACCTAATTTTCAATTCATTTGGATTTTTCGATTCAGGATCATGCCTATTAACCACGTAGTTTGTGATAAGCTATGGTTAAACATTAAAAAGTAAAATTAAAGTGTTGGTTTTGGTGTTTATATACGTATATTGATGGATCTATAACTATCATATGAACATACACACCGAGGGGGAAGATTTAATTCCATCATGGAGCCTTAGTTGGGAAAGACTGTATCATCATCATCATCATCATCATCATCATCATCATCATCACGTGCCATTGTCAATTCTGCAATTCTGACTTACGTCAACCTTTTCCAAGGTGTCCTGGATATGGTGTTCTCACACAAGGTTTCCCCTTCCCTTCTTCTTTGGGGGGGGGGCGCCGGAAAGACTGTATCATCATCATCATCATCACATGCCATTGTCAATTCTGACTTACGGCAACCTTTTCCAAGGTGTCCTGGATATGGCGTTCTCACACAAGGTTTCCCCTTCCCTTCTTCTTTGGGGGGGGGGCGCCCTGGGACTGTGCAGGTTGCCCAAGGCTACCCAGGCTGGCTCTTCTCCCAGGAGGCACAGCATGGGAGAATCGAACTCCCAATCTCTAGGTCTGCAGCCAGACATCGAACTCCCAACCTCTAGGTCTGCAGCCCGATACTCCAATGCATGGAGCTATCCAGCCTGCAACCTCTTGAAAAAAAAAGAGGAAGCAGTGAGATCTAAATTTCATTACACCGCCCCTGCCAGCCCAGCACAGCCTGGCTCCTAGGTACCAGCCTTACTTACCAGCTCTCCAGCCTTACTTATATCTTGACGTGGCGATGGCAGATTGTAAGGAAAGACAGCTGAGCATTTCAGCAGCTACAACACCATACTTCAGGAGATTGTCTCGAGGACAAAGTTAGACAGGGTATGCATTGCATCCTGTGCTCATAAGAAGAACGCTCTGGATTGCTAAGTGTTAGTTTCTTTCGCCCCCCCAACTCTGTATTCTAAAACATCAGGCTCTTTTGAGTCGTGAAATGGGGGTGTGGGGGTGGGAATCCAACCTCCTGGAGTCACAGAAGCATGTGAGTTGGTTTGCATGTGCTTGTAACTGATAATGGAAGGTGTGCAAAAGGCGAAAGTCAGCTCCCAACGAATTCTTGCCCTTTACACCAGGTCATTGTGTCACAACTGCCAGTAATCTCTCTGGCTGAGTCTTTGTCCATCGTTGGAACAGCAACGCGGTTCCCAGCCTCCCTTTACACCAGGTCATTGTGTCACAACTCTCAGTAATCTCTCTGGCTGAGTCTTTGCCCATCGTTGGAACAGCAACGCAGTTCCCAGGCTTGGGTCACTGGGGTGTTCTTGAACTGCAAATCCTAGAAACCCCAGGCAGCACAGCTGGTGATGAAGGCTTCTGGGAACTGCTGTCCGAGAACGCCAGGATTACCCAAGGTTGGGAACCACTGTCCTAGACCGGCTGAGCCACTGGAAAGCGGGCAAGAGGGTATCAGGCAGGGACAGGGAACAAGGACCAGGGAAGAACAGGGAAGCCTTTTGAAATCCACAAACACCAGCAGAGCTTCAACAAAAAAGAAGAAGGTCTAAAACTCAATAAAGCCTGGCTCCCAGACTGAAAAATACAGCCTGCAAAAGGTCAACGAACTCTACCCAGCCACAAGGACTGGTGATCACTGCACAAAAAAAGACTAGCTAATGACATCCGTCAATCACAGTGACAAATCATCTCCTCCCCTTATCACAACAATACACCCATAACAAAAAACACCCTTATCGCCTAATCACCCAATCTCCTGAAAAGGACAAAAAGCTGATCCCACAGCTATAAGTACTCAACTATCCCACACACTACACTAGAACACAGACAGAGTTCTAACTCTTCTCCTCTGAAGATGCTGGCCACGGAGACAGGCGAAACATTAGGAAGAACAACCTTCAGCACATGGAAAAACAGCCCCGAAAAACCTACAACAACCATTAGATCTCGGCCATGAAACCCTTTGAGAATACATTAAATTCCCTATGACTTCACGTGGTGATTGTTGCAGAGATTTAAACTTCTGGTTAAATTACTTTTTGCTACACAGTAAAAGTACAGAGACTCACAGAGGAGAATAGCTATAAGTTCCCCAGATAGTCCACCCCTTTCTCATTAACTGATACTTAATCACTCCATCTGATATATTTATAGGAGAAAGTTTAAAAACATTTCATTAGTTACAGCTGTGAACAGATTAACAACAAATTAAAAAATACTGCTTCCAACATATTTAAAAGAGGGAAAGGAACAGTAGCAGAGAGGTGGGGCTATCTTTGAATTCAGAGATGGGAGGAAACAATTGGTTAGTGCTGGATGGATTGACAGTTGCCCCAGCCCCAGAAAAGTCCTTCCCCAGTCACTTAAACCCCAGGCAGCCTGCCAGGTTGCAATATCTCCATCAGTGCTCTGAGACCTGGAAACTTTAGGCTGCCGTGGCAAGAGAGGGGGGGCATGATAGGGCGGGGAAGGGCTTCCGCCTTGACTTATTGTTCCTCCTCTTATTGCAGGTGAACGGGAAGCACACCCTTGGGGAGAACATTGCCGACATGGGGGGACTTAAGCTTGCCTACTATGTAAGTGCCTTCAAGAAAGGATAGAAACTTCCACCAAGTCAGTCCCACAGGCAAAATTTGGACGTCAGAGCCTTGAAGGATGCTGCCAGGTCCCTTCCCAGAGAGATAATTGCAGAGATTTTACTGTTCATACCATTCCCAAAGCTCTGTGGTTCTGCCTCTGGCCCGTCTCTCCTGCTTGGAGGATTCTGGCACTTGTCGTCCCCGAAAAACAATTTTTCAACATTCTGTTGTATCCTACAAATCTACCACTCCAAATCGACCAGCCCAAAGGTTGTTTATAACTTATAATCGCTTTCCAAGCCTATTTAAACCTTCTCTCTCTCTCTCTCTCTCTCTCTGTCTCTCTCTCGCACACACACACACACACACACACACACACACACACACAGAGAGAGAGAGAGAGAGAGATGTGCCTTTGTTTTGAAACAACCCCCAAGTCATCCGAATGAGGCCTGTTTGGTTCAGCTTTCCCTCCGTGACAATACAAAGACCATGTGTAACTAATGAGTGTATGTGAACAGATTTGTTAATCCATTGGAGATTGTTTTGGGGGCAACGGAGGGGGGGTTACTTCCCTCTAATGACACCCCTCCTGGGAGGATCCTCCCAGTCCCCCCTCCCCACCATGCTCTCACACCTCTGGACCCATCTGTGGCATCCCCGTCTTGCTACCAAGGGTGGGGCAGTTTCCGTGGTTGGTGGGCCAATGTTTGTCCCCCCCCCCTCAAGACCCATCATAGCTTGTGGGACTTTGCAAAAAGAAGGGGAGGGGCAAGAAAAGGAAAGGACAAGCTTCTATCAAAAAGTTGTCAGCTATATATGTCCAGTTTTGTTTTCTCTGCAAAGTTTTCGACACACACACACACAAACCCCGCAAGGCGGTCCATTCTTTATGCACCCGGCTGCAGAGAAAGCGAGACATCTTTTCTATTTGTTTGCTGACCCCAATGATCTCTCGCAGGCCTATCAGAAATGGGTACGCGAACATGGTCCCGAAAACCCACTCCTCTGGCTGAAGTACACCCACGAGCAACTTTTCTTCATTGCTTTTGCCCAGGTAATGCTTTTTGGCTTCCGAGGTAGCCTCTTCCATGGTTCCCCCTTCGTTAGGTTTCCCTGTCACTTGTGGTTTTGTGTATTTATTCATTTATTTAACTTATATGTCGCCCACACTACCCGAAGGTCTCTGGGCAGCTTACAGCATTTAAAATAAATAAAAAGGCAAAATAAAAGGGCAAAATAATTAAAATGCAATTAAAATATATATTCTAAAAATTGCCATCAGACCTACAGCTGATATTATTTCAGTTAAAAGCCATTTGGAGCAGGAAGGTTTTGACCTGGCGCCGAAATGTCATCAGCGTCGGACGGGTATTCACTGGAGGTGGTGGTGGTACATTCAAAGTTCTTTCAACAATTGCTTCTGGGAGGCCATCCTTTTATTTTATTTTTCCTCAGATAGCCCTGGATGTCAGGAACAGAGGATGCTGCCCTTATAGAGAGTCAGATCTTTGCTGGATTGAACCCAGCGTTGTCCGTTCTGTCTGTCGCCGCTCCTCCAGAGTTTCAAACTGGGTTCTTTCAGGCTGGCTAGAGTTTTGAGAAACTGTAGCCCCCCAAAAAGTAACTTTTCTGAGTCCCATCAGATACTGTCTATTAGCTACTGAATTTTTGGACTGCAGTTCCCATAATTTTCTATTCTGGACGTTCAACCTGATAGGCAGGCACCTAAATGGGGCTCGCCTGGGAGAAAGGCCTCATCTGGAAGATAGTTCTCTCGCCTGGGAGAAAGGCCTCACCTGGAAGATAGTTCTAGTTACTTCCAACTCACAGCAACCCCTAGAGAGCTTTCAGGAACCTAAATGGGGCTCGCCTGGGAGAAAGGCCTCATCTGGAAGATAGTTCTAGCTAGGCCTGGCTTCCTGTTCAGAAGGAAATCACCTAGATAGGAAAGAATAAGAACTGAAGGTTTGGGCAGAGCTTGGGCGAGCTGGGCCTGAAAGCTGTCTAATTTTGGTCTTTCCCCAAGTTGAGCCCCATTTAGGTTTCTGTAAGGTGTCTTGTCTGTCAGATAGAATTTGCAAAATGGAGAATACTGGGACTGCAGTCCAAAAATCCAGTCCCTATTAATGATGAACTTGAGTTCAAGACCAGCTTGTGTAGACAGGTTCAGTGGCTGTTCTTATGTACCATCAAGTTACTTCCAACTCACGGCAACCCCTAGAGAGCTTTTGGGGTGAGAGGTTCAAGGAATGGTTTAGCATTGCCACCCCTTCAGTGGCTAAGATGGGATTTGAACCCCCTGTCTTTTGAATCCTATTCTGGCCCTCTATCCACTGTACCAAGTCAACTCTCAACCAGGGACTAATCCCCCTGTGATCCCACTGTCCAATTGACCCTGCCCTGCGTCTGACGTTCTCCTGTCTTCCTCCTGCAGAACTGGTGCATCAAACGACGCTCGCAGTCCATCTACCTACAGGTCCTGACGGACAAGCATGCCCCCGAACACTACAGGTAGGTAGGAGAGATTCAGGTGAAAGGCATTAGAAAGGAGTGAGGTTGCCAAGAGAACCGGCCACTGAAAGCAGGACTTGACCTCTGTGCGGTTCAACATCGGGCACAGTGGTACCACTGTAGGAAGCAGAGCTGACCTACGGCTTTCTTCTGCCTGAGGTGGGAGAGGCCCCCTTCTCACAGAAATGGTACCGAAACACACCACAGATCAGCCCTATTGCCTCTAGGCACCTGCTTCAGTCTACCAAAAGGTAGGGCCAACAGAAACAGAACGGAACAAGATAGTTCAAGATAATTTCGAGTCTTGCAAACAAGCTGTGAGTGGCAAAAGGGAAGAGAGGAAGTCAAGGACCATATGCTGAGAATCTTCAGCCCTTCAACTGTCGGAGTTCAGGAGCCGAAAGCATCTATCTTCGGTTTCTTGTGCTGCTAGGGCTATCTGGCAGGATGGTAGCGCTGTGTCAGCACTTCATAAACAGCCTGTAAAGCAAACCATTCTTTGCTATCAGCTAATCAGTGTGAGTTCTAGCCTCACGGGCCTTTATGGAGTGCTTAAACTGCTAGATGGGGGTGGGATTGATGCCATCTTGATAGAATTGACCGTTCCGGGCCTTATTCCAGAAACAAAGGTGGACAGCTGTCCATACAAGAGCATTTGAGAGGAAGGATGTGTGTGAGTGATCGTTTCCCAGGGTTTACACCAACCTTCTCAACACAACTCTCTCCAGATATGTCAGACCACAGTGCCTATCACCCCCAGCCAGGAGGGCCATGTTGGCTGGAAATAATGGGAGATGTAGTACAATACATCAAGAGGGTGCCAGGTAGGGGGAAACCAGAAAGCCAGCAGAGAAGATTGGAAAGTTTCAAAGTTAGAAAAACTGTTGGGATTTATGTATATATGTATGTATTTATTTGCTAATAGATCCCAATGCATTTTGGACAATCAATAACGTTGTGGCTTTCTTTAGTAAAGGTAAAGGTTCCCTTGACATTTAGTCCAGTCGTGTCCGACTCTGGGGGGGTGCTCATCCCCGAAGAGTGCTATCCTATAGTCACTCAGTCTTCTTCTCTCAAGGCTAAAAATGCCTAGTTCTTTCACTCGTTCCTCCGAGGGCTTGGCTTCCAGCCCCCTGATCATCCTTGTCACACTCCTCTGAACTTCTTCCAGTTTCACAGCACCCTTCTTGAAGTGTGGTGATCAGAACCGCAGTCCTCAAGATGAGTCCTTACCAGTGCCAAACAGAGGGGAGCTAGTACCTCACAGGATTTGGAGACTACACTTCTGTTAATGCAGCCAAAAATAGCATTGGCCTTTTTTGTAGCCACATCACACGGTTGGCTCATATTCAGCTTGTGATCTATGGCGATTCCATGATCTTTATATTCGCGAAGGCTTTCACGGCCGGGATCTAATGGTTGTTCTGGGTTTTTCGGGTTCCTTGGCCGTGTTCTGAAGGTTGTTCTTCCTGACGTTTCGCCAGTCTCTGTGGCCGGCATCTTCAGAGGACAGCAACCATTTTCTGAAATGTTTGGTTATTTATAAAGAATGAGTTGGTAGAAATGTCAGGAAGAACAACCTTCAGAACATGGCCAAAGAGCCCGAAAAACCCAGAACATCCAAGATCTTTCTCACTCCTAGTATTGCTGAGTATTCCAAGTATCCCCCACCCTGTTGTACATTTTAGGACTATTTTCCTCCTAGGTGTAGAATTTTTGCACTTATCCCTGTGTGTTGTTTCCATCCCAGTGCTCAAGAGGTTTTGAGTTGAAACCTTTAAAAAAGAAAGAGAAAGCCTCGTGGTATTTGTATTATTTCTGTTCTTCTCTCTTCCTGCTGCATCGGCTTATTTTCTCTCTCTCTCTCTCTCTCTTTCTTCCTTCTCTCCCTTTCAGAGTCCTGGGCAGTGTCTCACAGTTTGAGGAGTTTGGACGGGTTTTCCACTGTCCCAAGAACTCGCCGATGAATCCGGTTCACAAATGCTCTGTTTGGTGAAACGCTCAGCTGCCCTCTCCCACCCCATCCCCGCCAACTGTACCCAACATTTGCCAGCCTTCCCGTTGGGCCCACTCACGCCACTCCCATGCCAGGTCAAAGGGAGAATCCGAGAGCCACCCTTGCTCTCTCGAGCCAGCCCTGTTTTGAGGGACAGATACATGGACGCATGGATGAACCTGCAGCCTCTTTCTCCATGATTTAAAACAGAAATATTTCTATTTTAATTCTGAAATTACATGTTCTCCACATTACACACATCATTTTTGCTACGTCTGTTTAACGTAGCGTCCAGCTTCACGAGTTTTATAAAGCTTGCAGATCATGGTCTAAGTCCTGGGTTGGTCCTAACAGCATTATTCTGTTGATATTTCATTTTTATTTAAGTACTGCCAGTCTGGCAGACCATGCCTTTTAGAAATGGAACGATTCACTTAAAAAACGAAATATTTTCCTAGCCTTTTTAAATTAAAAAAAGCATGAATAATGGCCCTTTATAGCGGACTGAAAGAATCAACGTATCTTGCATTGTTTCCATACAAATGGAATATAGTAGGGGACACCAATGCCTTGCAGCAGCATCGGTTCTCATAGGATCAGCATTCCCAATATGAATCCCGTTTTGCCCCTCCAGCCAACCATCCCTTCCTCCAGCCTATGCACAAGGAACTCTGGGATCGGTAGTTCTTGAAAGAAGAGGTCACACAGGGAAGCACAAACCTCCTGATCTCAAACTGTCAGATCTTGGCAGCTTATTGGGTTTTTGCTGTACTAAGGGCATAATAACAGTGTCCTTTTGCATTTTAAGTTTATTGCTAATATGATATGGGTTGAGGTATAGCAAGTGATGCTCTTGTTATATACAGTCGTGCCCCGCTGGACAATTACCCTGCTGTACGACGAATCCGCATTACATCGACTTTTTTACGATCGCAAAACGATGTGTTAAATGGGGAATTTCACTTCACGTTGATCGGTTCCCTGTTTTGGGAACCGATTTTTCGCTTTACGATGATCAGCAAACAGCTGATTGTCGGGTTTCAAAATGGTCTCCGGCTTTCAAAACGCCCCCTGCTGTTTTCTAGGATAGATTCCTCGCTATACAGGCACTGAAAATGGCCGCCGTATGGAGGATCTTCACTGGACGAGCAGATATTCAGCCTATTGGAATGCATTAACCGGGTTTTAATGCGTTTCAATGGGAACGAATTAACATCGTCAAGCGAGGCACCGCTGTACTCCAAACTTTGTACCTCATTTGGGTCATTTTAATTAATATTTTAAGGGTTCCTAAAGGATTTGTTTGCTTATTTATTTATTAGCCTTTCCCGGCTGCTCAAAACTAATTTTTTTTTTAAAATCCTTAGTGGTTTACAGTTGAAAGAAATGCTACAAAGCAACAAATAATTTAATTCAAATTTATTAAAGCATAATACCTTATGAATACATTCACCCTTCCCAGCTGCAACCAGTAGGGACACATTAGAAGTTTTTAAAGGGAAAAAAATCAGCACGAATGCATTAGGCCATTTTTCATAACATTCTAAACTCTGGTTGTACGGCACACACACACACCTTGTCTGTGTGTTCCAGGTGAGACGTTTGCTGTTCAGGATGTTGCTTATTTCGTTCTAACCCTGCTTCAGACCAACTTCGCTGAGATTTAGAGGATTTGGCAATGAGGGCCACTGATTTCTGAAAACAAGTTTCCATACTGATGGTCTAATAGGACCTTAAAATTCTTTCCCCACACGACCAGAAAGGGACAGGGCTCCAGTTTCTAGTAAAGTGTACAAGCCCTGACTGATCCACCAGGATTGGGCCCTCCTTGCCAACGAGGAGCACCCTAAAGCCATTTGAATGGTTTTATGGACTGGTTCTTTCAGGAACTGGTATTTTTGCATTGACCCTTCTGCCAACCACTCTGGGTCATGATTCTGCCCCCAAAAAACATCAGCCTGACAAGGCCACCAGGGCCTACTATTGCCAAACTAGGTCAGCCGTTACCATGGAGAGAGAACTGGTGGCCTGCACCTTCTGGCAGCTCTAAAGGACAGGGGAGTGTGGACCACCACAGACAAGGAGGGTGATTTGCCGAATTCCCTCAGAATTTCGTAGTTGTGTATCCTAGATCTGGGTTTCAATCACAGCACATCCTCAAACCTTCCTTGGCCCCAGAAAGGATGTACCGGAGACTTCTCTGAGATGGAGAGAGAGAGAGAGAGAGAGAGCTAATACAGCTGTGGCTGTTGAGGGGCAGACAGAGAGACCCATGAGGTGGCATGTTGTGGCCCTGGCATACTGTGGCCCAGCCAACCTCCTTCCTCTGAGACCCATCAGTACTACAAGGAGGGTGATTTGCCGAATTCCCTCAGAATTTCGTAGTTGTGTATCCTAGATCTGGGTTTCAATCACAGCACATCCTCAAACCTTCCTTGGCCCCAGAAAGGATGTACCGGAGACTTCTCTGAGATGGAGAGAGAGAGAGAGAGAGAGAGCTAATACAGCTGTGGCTGTTGAGGGGCAGACAGAGAGACCCATGAGGTGGCATGTTGTGGCCCTGGCATACTGTGGCCCAGCCAACCTCCTTCCTCTGAGGTGGCACCCATCAGTACCACAGGGCGACTCTGGAGAACAAGACATGGACAGCTTTGTGTTACCCTGAACCCTCTCCTGCCTCCAAAACCTCTCATGTACATTTCTTGGCCATCAAGTGGTGCCATCTGAGCCAGAGGGGTGGTTGGCTCTTTGTACAGAAATGTTGCGTTGTATTTTTCTGTTGCTGATTATATGGAATTAAAAGGCCAGAGCTGTTTTGTCTGCATGGGCAAATGGGTGTTGTTAATTAACTGGGCTTCTTATAATCAACCTCTCCCAAAGGCAGGGGGCAGGTTTCAAACCACTGACGGCATCGCCTCTTCCCGGCCGTCCAAAAACAGCTGGAATTTGGCACTGCTTCCAAAAGATGTTCAGGTATTGATGAATCCGTGGAAAGAGAATTTGATGGGGCAGCCGATCTCCGTGGCTCTCTGTGATTTCTTGTGATCGCCATCGTAGTATTGCGGAGCTGGAAGGGGCCCTATGGATCATCAAGTCTAACCCTTGTCAAGGAAGCACAGTGGGGAATTGAACTCCCAACCTTTGGCTCCGCAGCCAGAGAGACCTATCCAATAGTTCTAGGCTGGATATAGCAACAGAACATTAGCAGCAACTGAATAAGGTGGAAGCCACGCTCCAATCTGCCTGGTGGCAAGACAGAAGGTTCATAGCTTTGGCTTAGAAGGGAAAACTCGGAGGCTGTTCTTTATGAAGTGAGAATTATCCTGATCTGAGGAAGACAGCGGGATGCGCCCATTGTTCTCCAGAAGGCTAGCAGGCCCAGAGAAGCAAGCTGACAAGAGGCAGAGCCATCAACGTGGGCTTGGTGAAGCTGGCCACATTAGAAGAGGGCAGGTCACAATCCTGGTATGGTTCCAAACAGGCAGCGTATGCCATCACGTGAGCGATGTACGTCTGTTCCTGCACACCATGGAAGAGGTGTGCCATTGGACCCTTGGCCATAATGGCCACATCTTCACCTCCGTGGGTTTCCGAAGAAAGAGGCACAGCCGCTTGTTGGTGGTAGGTGTTGCCTTCTGTAGAGAGAGAGAGGAAATGGAGTCAGCGGTTGTTGGTTGTTAGCAAAACAGGCTGGGAGGCATCTTGAGACTTTTTCAGTTGATCACATTTCCAAGTTCTGGGCTTAACAGGCTGTGTGCCTACTCAGGTTGAGCCCCCGAGCTTGGCCTACAGCAGTCAACTTCTCTGTTGTCCTTTTCTAAACCGCCCCCCTTCAAACAAAAACAAAACAGCCATCATTAACACAGGGATTTCTCTAAAGACTCACGACAGCATAGGAGAGAGAGGGGGAAAGACAGAACATCCTGTATCTTGAACGATGGACTAGAACAGATAAGCTAGTGGGCCAGGAGGAAAGAGTCCTCTCTTTGAAAGGTTACTTAAGGGTGGCCCTCTGCTTCAAGTTGTCCTTTGTTTGAATCGCTTCGCTTTGGGCATTCAGCCACCGCAGGTCTGGCCTAAAGAGGAAGGCTCGATCATTGAAGAGACTCATCCAAAGATGATGAGTATCTTCAATGACCACACAGAGGCACCAAGTTCTAATGAGATGCATCTGGCATGGACTTCCCTCAGGTGGTGAGTGAGAAAAGCAAGTAGAAGAAGTGCAAGAATTTTTGTTTTGATTATAATAATTATTTCAAAACATGCATCTATAGCACATAAATGAGCAAATGCAAAATGTATGGCGGGGCAAACCCTAAACATCACCGCCGTGTTAGAACTGCAAGCTGGAAGGAACCTTATGGATGATCAAGTCCAACCTTTGTCAAAGACACACCGTGGGGAATCGAACTGCCAACCTCTGGCTCTGCAGCCAGAGAACTAAACCACATGTGTCATGGTCCCGCATCTATAGCACATAAATGAGCAAATGCAAAATGTATGGCGGGGCAAACCCTAAACATCACCGCCGTGTTAGAACTGCAAGCTGGAAGGAACCTTATGGATGATCAAGTCCAACCTTTGTCAAAGACACACCGTGGGGAATCGAACTGCCAACCTCTGGCTCTGCAGCCAGAGACCTAAACCACATGTGTCATGGTCCTCTTTTGCCAGCTTCTCAGGTGAGGGATGTCCTTCAGGAGAAAGGGAGTAATGTCTGGGTGGCCAAACTAGAGGTGAGAGGTCTGTAGGAGGGCTGGGCACTGGGTAAGATTTACTTGGGTGTTACGGATAAAGTGTGGGATTAGGATGCGGTAGACATGGGTCCCGATCCCTTACTCAGCCATGGAAGCTCACCAGGGAAGTGGCACAAATAAACTGCTACCCACCTTTAATGAACAGAGTTTTACATTTTTGCTCGGGATAATAATTTTGGGGCACTCAGATGAGGAAATGGTGTGGGGGAGAGGTTAAACACAACGTTTTCCTTCTGGCACTCCTGCTTCATTCAAAATTAGAGTGCCTGGTTGAATCGAAACCTTCAAAACCTCCTAGAGGTGAGATGGATTAACACTGTTTTGGTGTTACAAACCCAGGCTCTCTAGCCATCCTATCGAACCCTGTCATCAGTCAGTGCCATCTTGCTTACCGGCCTCTTCTGTGGTCAAATTAGGACGTCCTCCTCCGGTGATCTGGTAACCCGGCCCATTCCCGTACAAAATGGAGGTGTATACCTTTTTGTCCGAAGCTTGCTTGGGTGCCAGTCCTGTGGAAGGAAGAGGTGTTACGAACAGGTAAAA